GCGTGACACACACGCTCACATCTGCGTGTCTGCATGCCCATGCTTCCGCATCTGTCTGCGTGAGCGTGCGAGCGCATGAACTCACTTATGCAATAAAGCCCTGAGCTCGAACGGGTATCTCGGCCTGGAACCCAGGGTCACAGGGCTTGTCTCAATCTCCACCCCGTTGTCCCTCGATCACGCGGCCTTGCTCTGTGTGCAGCAGAGGCTTGGGCATCACCAGCCTGAGGGAGGCCCTCGTCTGGCTGAGCGAAGGGCAGACGGACTCACCAGGCAGGGGCCCCGTGCTGAGCCAGAAGGTCTTCTGGAAGGTACAAGGGAGGCAGAGGCAAAATCCTCAGGAAGCTCTGGGGTGAGAGCAAAACCCTACGATTGTCTGGATGGAATGACCAGCCAGAAAAGAGGGCTGCTGTCCAGCTCTGTGGAAAGACCTCAAGTGACGCAGGGTCACTGGGAAAGGGCAAACGTGTCCCCAAGCAGCTGGGAGGGGGCTCCTCACACCCTGCTGTCCCCCAGGAGAGGCTGCCCTCTGTTCAAGGCACGAGTGACCCTAGTTATGGCCTCCTCAGACCTGCTTATGAATAACCAGCTAATACAATTCTGACTGTTCTATTTCTAGGGATCCTGTTCCCTTTTTTTTTAAGGACTTATTTTTAATTTCATTTAATTTTTTTTAAAGATTTTTTATTTATTCATTTGAGACACAGAGATAGAGAGAGAGAGAGAGAGAGCATGAGCAGGGAGAGAGGCAGAGGGAGAGGGAGAAGCAGGCTCCCCGCTGAGCCAGGAGCCCGATGTGGGGCTCGATCCCAGGACCCTGGGATCACGACCCGAGCTGAAGGCAGACACTTAACCATCTGAGCCACCCAAGCGCCCCATCATTTAATTTTTTAAGTAGGCTCTACGACCAGCGTGGAGCCCAATGTAGGGCTTGAACTCACGACCCTGAGATCAAGACCTGAGCTGAAATCAAGAGTCGGATGCTTAACCCACTGAGCCACCAGGCGCCCCAGTTCTTATTTTATTTTTTTAAGTAGGCTCCAGGGCCAATGTGCGTGGGGCTTGAACTCACAACTCTTGAGACCAAGAGTCACATGCTCGACCAAGACAGCCAGGTGCCCTGGGATCCTGTTCCTTTTAAGGTTGCTCTGTTGAGGGTTTCATCTCTCTCGTCCAACAAACAATTTCCCCCAAAGGCAAAAGTATTTCTGGGTTTGATGCACGTGTGCTCTCAATTCAACACCACATCTTTACAGAACAGGGAGCCTGTGGGAAACATCCGCACACAACCAGGACTAACACGAGCAAGGGAGGGCAAAGCCGCTCTGGAGCTTGCGGTCTGCACACTGGCGGCTGCGAAGCTGGAGTGAAGCCGCTCACCATGACCAAGTGCTGGGCAGTGAGGCTGGAGTGTTCCCAGGAGGGACACACACCTTCCCTGGGCTCCCGAGGCCGCGTGGCAGTGCTCAGGATCCACAGGGCCTGACGAGTGTGCGTACAGCGGCGTCCCAGCCCCTGGGGTGCCCCAGAGCTGTATTTTAAGGCCAAGAGCAGCTACAAGTCCTGGAGAGCTAGTGCACTGATTGATAAGCCCCAAGACTAGACACTGTGCCTGGAACTCAACCCCCGAGCGAGGACTGATTTTCCACCTCACAGGAGACAAAACTCCCCGGAATGACAGCAGGTGTGGGCCTTCCGTCAGGCCCGGATGAGGCCATCTCTGTAGCTTGTGCACCAACAACAAACCAAGAAGGTGTCACTGGAGGTTCCGACGCACGCCAGCTGGAAATCGTGACCAGAGCGTCACGCTGAGATGCATCTGCACACGGGGTGCCGGCCGGGAGTCTGGGTGCCAGCGCCCGCAATGGGGGCACCCCTCAACACCAGGGCATCATGTCTGCAGCTCATTCTCAAATGGTTCTGGGGGAAGAAAAAGGAGAGAGAGAGAAAAGAAATGTGCTAAAATATTGACCTTTGGGGGATGTGGGTCAAGAGTGCTACTCTTGAACAGTTCTGTTTCAATTTTAAGCTTAATAGGAACAATATCGGGCGGGGGGCGGTACAGGAGCTGGGAGAAGGGCTGGTCATCTGAGGCCACGGACCCCAGTCCCTCACGTGTTTCCCCAGCCCTGGCAAGGCCCACCGCCATCTGCGCCTCCTGCCCAGCACCAGCTGGTCAGTGGCTGCAGGAAGCAGCGTGCTTCTGCCCCAGCCTCGGCCGGACCAGCTGCTCAGGGGGATTCTAGTCGCGCCCAAGCCTCCTCCGCAACAGGCGGCCTCACTCGGGCCCTGGAGCAGATGCAGCCTTTGGTGGAAAGCCCCATCTTCTCTCCTCCCCACCAGAAGCTCCCGTCTCTCGTCCACTCTCCCTGCTCACCTGCCAGGGCCGTGCCCTTCCTTCTTTGCCCATCTCCTGGCCACTGCAGGCCCTCACTGAATGACCACTCCTCTCCCTGCTTCCCAGCCCCGGAGCTGGCTCAGGCCTCTGGAAGGCAGGCAGACACCTCCCTTTGCCGGGTGTCGTCCTTCCCCACCCACATTTACTCCATAGCACTGGGACATCTGGCTTCCACACTCCCCCCAAATGGCAGCGTAAGAGAGCGAATTTAGATCTGCGAGTGAGCAGGGATCTCTGCTCAACCTCTTAGAGCTGTGTGATTTTTGCCCATGCTCAGGACTTGCGGGCAGTGGACATGCAGGCTCAGTATGAACTGTAACACCAACTCCTCAGTCTTTGTCGCCCCATCTCGTCTGCCTGTCCCTGATCTCTCTACACTGCCTCCTGGGAACTAAGGTCAGATCCACACTGTCTGCCTGTGGTTCCCAACCCTGCTGCCCCTCTCCTCGACTTAGCTTGTCTGGGTCCCACAGCTGCCTACATGTCTCCCCTTGGGCAGCCAGCCAGCTCCTCAAATTTAACACACCGCCCCACTTGGACCCGCTCTCATCTGTGCTGGATTTGCCAAAAGGCAGTCACAGCAGGTGCTTAAGGCCGCTGAGAAGAAATAAACTTCTGGGAAAAGAATGTGATATTCCAAAAATGCACCAAAGCTCGACCCATTGTGCACCATTCTCTGTGAGTTGCATGGGGGAGGAGCACCGAACATCGGCAGACTGGGACCCCGGAGGTCTCTGCTCAGTGCTCCCTGTCATCTCCGGAGCTGGTCCTCCCCAGCAGCCTTGGGCACTCTAACATTAACGCGGACTCCTCCTGCCTGCCCCCACATCCGGTTTTTAAATCTTGATGCTTCTCTTGCCCCAAAGGCCCCACAGCTCCCTCCCTCTCCACCAGCCACATCCAGTCCCTGCTTGCTTGGGTCTGCAACACAGCTGCTGCCTCCTAATGGACCCCGCCAGGCTGTCCTGTGCCATGAGTCACCTCCTCCAACTACAGAGCAGACATACATGTCACACTCCTGCTCACACAGCTCTGCCCACCCCCAAGGCCAAGCCCCTGCCTAGAGGTCAAGGCCCTCTCGCTGTGATGTTCATCACCCTCTCCTCGCAGACCCTGGGCTCCAGCCAAACCAGACTTCTTGCCATCTGGGAACATATGTTCCCTCTGCCCAAAATAATCTACATCCATCTCCACCTGTCAAGATCTGTCCTTGTTCAAAAATAGTACCGGGACAATTGGCCATTTGACGGAAATTTTTTAGATTCTCTGCTTCACAGTATGCACCCAAATATGTTACAAACGAGAATTAAACGTAAAACATCATGTAATCACGTACGTTTAAGAAAACAAACTAAAAAGTCTGAAAAATACGTGATCATCAAATATATGAAAGGGGAAAGATCCTAGGCTCAAAACCAAAGCCCGAGATCCGACTCGGCAGAACCGGGCTGGTCAGAACCAGGCTGATGAGCAAGGAGCAGAGGGACGGCGAGCTCTTCCCGAGCTGAGCTGAGCCGGGCCGCGGGGGCACCTTTCACGAAGGCCAAACGGGGTGCGGCGCCCGGAGAGGCCCGCGTCCTGCCCGGGCCGACGCTTTCCGCCGGGCCGGAGCGGCCCGCGCTCCGAGACTGGCGGACGGAAGCTGCGCCGCCCCCGTTCCCATCCCGCACCCCGCACTCCTCCTCCCCTCCGGCCCGCGGTGATGACGTCACCGCACCCACGTGACGCGGAGCGCCCGCCGCTCCCGGGCCGTTGCCCAGCAACGCTACCGGATCGGCTCCGTTCTGAGCGCAGATTTCCCCGGCATCCTCCCTCTTTTAATGCCTCTCCATTTAGAAGTAACCACAATCGTAACCGCTGTTCCTACAAGGAAGTGCACTCATCTCGACGGGTGTGACACCCAGGACACCCGCGACCGCAAACGGGACGCACACCGTCTCCGCCCCTCGCCCCCCCGCGCCGTTCCCGTCCCGAGACGCTCTCCCCTTCCCAGAGCGCCGCGCGCCGCGACGTCACTGTCCTACGCGCGGCCGCCGCCGCGGCGCGCGGCGCTTCCGGCCGCCAGGACGTGT